GTTACCTGTTAACTAAAGCCAGATTTCAATGATGTTTGATAATTAGTCTTGTTCTCTATTCTATCCTTTCAGAGCAGGAAATTGTCTAGTCTTCCATGTGAACATGACAATTCAAGACCCTGAGAAATCCAACCATACTCTCATCCTGGATGGTCCAGGTGAGTACAGGACTGATTTAACCAAACAAGTAATGATCTAAAAGACAAATATAATATAAAACACATTTAAAGTCTAGCAAATTGATGCTAGTTGGTTGTAGCAAATTGGGTGTATGCACAAATCTGAGTGTTAGACAAAAGAACTGATGAATTTGTAAGACTTTATCGTTGTTCACAGAATAAATAAGTACGTTTTTTTCTCCAGAATTTAATGCTGCATAAGTTTTTTCGCTGTTTGGTACTGTATTTGGTACTTTGGACTGTCGCAGTCAAGACATTTAAAATAATTGGCCTGCAGGAAGCATAATGAGTTCAGGGCTGTTTGCCTCAAGAGATTCTGCTCATGAGTTACGGTCCTAATTACAGAGGATTGGCGAGGCAGTGTGTTTTTCTTCCCCACATCACAAAGAAATATTCTGTTTTTAAAGTGATCAGCAGGAAAATGAAAAAAAAGAGAAGATAAAGTCTTTGGAAAAGTGAATGCATGATAGATTTTGATGTTCATAAATTACTGTTCCTAATTTTGTGCCCTCAAGGAGTGCAGGTGTTTGGTGGTGCGGTGACTCCATATGATGACAAGGGTCGAGTAGATATCCATCAGGGCTGTCCAAACTGCCTACTAATTGTCTACCATGGAGTGTTTGAAGGAACACCAGGAAGGATACTGCTTTTCTACAGTAAGGAAAGCACTTTAATAATGGCGAACATGTTAATAAGAATTTGTAACACATTGGCAGAGGATTAAGATCGTTTTATGATCTCCAAAAGCCTCCATTGGAGAATAAACCAAGGGGATGTTATCTGTGGTAATGAAGCCATGATGCTGTTCCACTCCTTGAACTCAATGATGCTTCCCCTGCTACAGACATGACACCAAATCGAAGTTATGTACCTGCAATGTCCATCATTTTTCATCTACCACGGAGTGAAAATGGAAAAAGAGATTTGTCTCTTTCATCACACTTTCAGATGTTCTTTTGGGGAACGGGATACTAATCAATGAGTCATTTTGTGATTATCATTATCCTTAAATTATTCTAACATTTTAGCACAAATGTCATCAGAAGACCATAAAAAAAAGCCTGTTCAATCTGAAAAACTCACATGAAGAGAAAAGACAATTAGGAGAAATTTATTGATACAATTACTGCTCAGACCTCGGCAGGAAACACGTTAGGGGCCGGTTTGTGTCTTGGAGTTGTGCATAGAGCCCATTCTGATGTCAATTTAAGTCCCAGTTAATCTGATGTAAAAATAAATCTGCATAGAATAGGAAGACTTGTCCTACAAGGTATGAAGTGTTGTTTTTTTGTTCAGTTTTCAAAGTGTTTATTAGAGCTGTAATGGCCTCACTGGTTTCTGTCTCTGTGGTCGCTGACTTCCTGTCCTTTTCTCTGACACAGGAAGTGAGGGGAAACACCTGGATGCTGAAGAGCTAAAAGCTGCTGAGAGTGAACAAAGAAGGATCGCGGAGTGTCTGAAATTCAATTTTGACGGTGGTTTCCACTATGACGGGAAGGCAGGTCAGAGACATGATAAAACCCAAATATGATGTATATATATATATATATATATATATATATATATATATATATAAACTCTAAACACAAAAAAAAACAGGTTAATGTAAAGTCAGCTGTTTTTTCCAGCAACGTTTTGAGCCTGTATGACAAACAGAATATAAATGCTTCAAGAACCTCATTATAAAATTAACCTAAATTTCAGACATTATTAGTATCAGGAAGTGGATGATCTTAAAAAAAAATTGAATAACCTGCCAAGTTTAATGTTTATTTGTTTTTTGTCTCCCTGCAGATTTTTGCCTGGAAAAGAAGGAAGAAAACGAAGCTTGATACAACATGTAGAGTTAATGCAAATAAATCTATATTAATCAATAACTATATGATTACATTTCTTTCTCTCAGACTCACTTGTCTTGATTTCTGCTGTTGAAAATCACCCAAAGGTTACCCTTATTTTAGGACTGAAAGATACGGCTGTAAATTAAACTCTTAATTTACATTCAAAATAGCATATTGCTAGAGTTTATGATAGAATGATTTTATTTTTCTTTACGTAATCAAGAAACTTAAAAAGATTAAAGTATTTATTTTTGTAAAATGTTATTTCTGTTTAAATCAATTGCTCATTTTTACAAAGATTTATATATTTTACAGACACACGGAAGCCTGGACAAAGTATTGAAACATAGGTTATGAAAACATGTATTTTTTAACAAATTTAGTAAATTAGAAATTCAGTTCAGTTTATTCATATTTTGAGCCAATTCACAACAAATGTAATCTAAAGGCACTTTACAGAGACTATGCAACCAAATCATACATGGTTTAAAGTTTTCTAAGAAAAACCAGCTGATTGCATGACTCACTGACTTGAATGCAATCCCTCACACCAAGCATGCTTGTAGCGACAGTGGAGAGAAAAAACTCCCTTTTAAGAGGAAGAAACATCCAGCAGGCAGCCCCGTACAGGAAAAACATATAAAATACAGAATATAAAACAAAAATTGAAGTTACAAAGAGCAGAGGAGTGTCAGTACTTTCTACTCGTATTGTTTTTTTCATTTAATGGTTTGTGGACCAAATTCAGATTCTAATATATGTCTTTTAACAAAGAAGCACACAATGCTTTAAGATCTATATTGATATGATTCTTTCTTCTGGTGTCAGTCAGGACTCTAGCAGCAACATTTTAAATGAGCTGCAGTTTTCCAATAAAAAAATCGGCTTTTAAAATAAAATCAATTTTTTTAAACGGCCATAATTCTGTCAAAACTTCTTAAAAATACCACAATGATACCACATTTATTTTAAAAGATATACTAAGTCAAGGTCAGACAAAACCTAAAAGCTGTCACTTTGGAACATGAAAGAAAGTTCCTTTTCCTGACTTAGGTGTTCAAAAGCATGCTTTGTGTGCGGGATTGCATCCGAGTCAATGAGTCAATGCAATCAACTTGTTTTCCTTAGATAGAAAACTTTGAATCAATTGACTGTATGATCTGGTGAACTGTAAAGTGCCTTGAAATGACATGTGTTGTGAATTGGCCCTATAGAAATAAACTGAATCAAAATTTAATTGAAAAGTATTAACACCCCTTGAAACATTTATAAGATCTACACAAAATAAAGCATTGTTCAGAAGGGAAAATAAAATAATGGTCCTCATGGTTTCCCTTTCTTTATTTAAAATGAAAATATGGAAAGTTTTTTGCATTTATTTTCAGTCCCCATTACACTGATATTTCTAAACAAAATTTAGTGAAACAATTGCCTAAAATTAGCATCAAGTTGCTAGAGTCCACCTGCCCATTCATGATCATGCCTATCTCCAGCAGTCTGATTATGGAGTCCCTGCAGAGCTCAATAGGTGGAGAGTTTCTTTCACAGGACAAGTAGTTCTGCACTCAATGTCAATCAGAGTATTAAGACGGTTTAAGAGAACAAACTTTAAAAAACTTTTTATGCTTTTAACCTGCAATTTTGAACTAACCTTTGTCAATGATATAAGATCTTAACTAAATTGATGATGCCCAAAGTAACTAAATCTTTAAAAAAAATCAACTTTTGTTAGCCATTACAGGGCAATTAATTAAGACAAAGTGTCATAATATTTCTATAAATATAGTTACCTCGGCAAAGGAGGCTATGGTTTTAAAAGTTTGTGAGTGTCTGTCTGTCTGTGCACAAGATAACCTGAAAAGTTATGAATTGATTTTAATGAAATTTTAAAGAAAGGGGCACTTCAGTCCAATGGACCATCCATTAAAATTAGGTGATGATCTGGATCAGCTATCTGCTTCCAGGATTTATTTTTTAGTTTTGCAGTATTCTTTAAATACAGGTGAAGTCAAGTAAGCTTGAAGTTAGGGGAAATGAGTTTGTCTACTTGGAGGAGGTCTGTGTTCTCTGAGTTTGTTGTCTATAGTTAGAAACTTGTTTGGGGGGGGTCATCTAAAATTATTTTTTTCCAGCCATAATGCTTCATCTGCTGGTGAATCCAACATTTCAAACGTGTTCTGCACTCAATGACAATCAGAGTATCAAGACGGTTTAAGAGAACAAACTTTAAAAAACTTTTTATGCTTTTAACCTGCAATTTTGAACTAACCTTTGTCAATGACATAAGATCTTAACTAAATTGATGATGCCCAAAGTAACTAAATCTTAAAAAAAAAAATCAACTTTTGTTAGCCATTACAGGGCAATTAATTAAGACAAAGTGTCATAACATGTCTATAAATATAGTCACCTCGGCAAAGGAGGCTATGGTTTTAAGAGTTTGTGAGTGTCTGTCTGTCTGTGCACAGGATAACCTGAAAAGTTATGAATGGATCTTAATGAAATGTTAAAGAAAGGGGCGCTTCAGTCCAATGGGCAATCCATTAAAATTAGGTGATGATCTGGATCATCCATCTGCATTCAGGAATTATTATTATGTTTTTTGTTTTTTGCAATATTCTGTGAATACAGGTGAAGTCAAGTAAAGTCAAGCAAGCTTGAAGTTAAGGGAAATTATTATTATTATTTTTTTGTGGTGGGGGCGGGGAGGGGGCGGTTGGGTCATTTAAAATTTTTATTTTTTATTTTTTAATGCCTCAACTGCTGGTGACTCCAACGTTTCAAACGTGTATTTTCTTTTTCTTTTCTTTTTTATATTCTTTGCCGCTAGGTGTCGCTTTTGAGCTTAATTGCTGGAAATAAAGCCCCCAGAGCGCGTCCTTGTGAGGGGAGCGCGCGTATCGAAGCCAGTGCGCATCTGCTCCAAAGCGCAGCGCGCACGCGCAGGGTAAGGATGCAGGCTGTGTTCAGACAACAGCAGCAGCTCTGAGGAGGAGACACAACCGGCGTGGACCCGAGCGGACACGGCGACACCAGCATCTTCCAGGGACCAGAGCTACCGGTGTCTCACCGGGTCGGGTGGAACCTCCTCCTTCCCCAGCGCTCCAGCTGAGCGGTTATCCCCGGGAGTAGAGAGGAGGGAGGATGAAGAAAAGCAACCAAAGCAGGCGGGTCAGTCAGACACCCTTTTTCCTTATTTTTTCTTTTAAACAAAGAGGTCCATTTATAACATTCGTTTGGTTATAACTCACATCTTTAATTTGATAGAGAACGCTGAGTTAATTAGTGTTATAACTGAAACAAAAAGCCCACACATTTCTGATTTAAGGATCATTATTCATTAATATTCATGCTGCTCCATGTAGAGGAAAAAAAGCTGAAATTCTTCTTCAGTAACGCATTTCCAATTAATGCCTTAATCAATATGTCTAATTAGTTGAAAAAAACAGGCTTTAATAACATAAGTATTACTCATCCTGTGTCTAAATAAATAAATATAGTTTTTTTCTGTTTATTTGTGTTTATTAGATGGTTAAACATTTAAATCTAACTCACAGTAACTGGCAAAGATTTAATATTTTATCTCCTTTCACTATTATTAAGTTTCCCAGTCTCTCTTCTCAGAAGCTCCTGCTGTTCTGGGACCCCAGAACCAGATTAATGATTTACACCTTCCATCTTCTCCATTTTCTGAGCAGAAAATATGTTTTCTTATTGAAGTAATCACCATTATAAGGAAAAGGGCACACATCTTTGTAGAAATATGTTTTATTCATTCTTTGAATGAATGCTTTCCCCTCCAGAACTCAGATAAATAACTTTTCTTACTGAAACCTGTTATTGTCAGATCACAGCATAAAGTAACATCCCAAACCCCTTCGAGGTCAACTTTCATGTCTTTTTTTTTATGTCTCTTTGAAATTTGACTGAGCCTCCTTTGGATTTCTTTTCTCTGAAGTTACTCCTTGTTGCTTCCCATCTCTTTGCTGCTAGTTGATTTTATTGCATCTGTTTCACTCGCCGACACTTCTCCCAGTTTTCTCCTTCCTCTTACTTCTGTCAGAGTCGGGCTGTTATGTAATTAAAGTAGGTCAAACTGACGGAGAGCAGTGAGATAATGACAAACATGATCATCGTGAAGATTTGCACTCCTCCATCACTAACACGTTATTTCTCCTCCTCCTCACTCCTCCTAAGCCTTTCTTTTTATGTTTGACCAAATATTTATCTATATCAGTTCTTCTGTTTTTGGTTTTATTCATCCCTCATTCTTACCCTCAAAAAATCAATTAAAGTTTCCATCCTTATTTTCTTTTTTTGTTTTTTCCTGCTCCTCACTGATTTTGCAGCAACTTTATGTCTTTCCAGACACTCACACTAGGGGAGTGTTGGTCTAGTGGTTAGAGCAGTGCACTTGTGCTCTGAGAAGGTTGCAAGTAACCGGCTTGATTCTCACAGCCTGCACTCTGGGTCCCTGAGCAAAACCCTTAACCCCTGATTGCTCCCCAGACGCCACACAATGGCAGCCCACTGCTCCCCAAGGGGATGGGTTGAAATGCAGAGAACGAGTTTCCCCATCGTGGAACAATGCCTTGACTTTTCTTTTTGTTCAATTTTCAGGGCATCCAGGACTGCGGTCCGCTCGCTGTGCAGCAGCCAGAGAAGGCGGGTTGGATCCGGAAGTTCTGTGGCCGGGGGATTTTCAGGGAGCTCTGGCGGAGCCGGTATGTGGTGCTGAAGGGAGATCACCTCTACATCTCAGACAAGGAGGTGAGGGCTAAGCAGCTTGAACGTGTGCGGTTTTGGGGAAGATTTGGAGTTGTTTTGCCAGATCGAGCAAGAGCTGAGAGCTTCAGCAGCTGTTATGCGTCAGAAACATCACTTTAGTTCAGTGTTAGAAACAGACAGAGACAGTTTATGTCCTAAAGCTGCAACAGAGATTAAGAGCAGCAACTGATTCATGAATCAGACTTGTGATGTTGGAGAGTGAAAATGAAATCCTCCCCCTCAGAGTTTATCTTCCCTTTAATGCATGTTTCTGCACTAAACTTAGAGTCAATAAAGATGCTATTTTACCTGTGCAATTTGAAATAATTTTGCAAAAAAGTCACTTAAAGAGTCAGAGAGCTTCTTACTAATAAAGTGGTAAAGACATGCTGGCAAATTAGAAAGAGAAAATTAAAAACCAACAAACTCAAAGTGATTATAAGAAAGGAAAATCAGTCACGAAAGAAAACATGTACAAACACTAAAAAAAAACACTAAACGATCAGTGAGTGATTGAAAAAGAAGACGGTCAAAAAAGATTGTCTGCATCCAACCACAGTTCACCAGAAATAAGACTACCAACAACCAGCAAAAGAATCAGATAAGAAATGTTAAAAGAATGAGAAAACATATACAAAACACAAACAGTACAATGATTAAATCCTGAAAACAACCACAAACCCCTAGAAACATGCTTAGAATGCCTAAATCAGATTCAGATCCACCAGACACACTCTACCCCTTTCACACTGGCCGTGTCTACCCGGGTCAAACGACTTGGCGAGCGACCCGCATCAAAATCCCCTCGGTTCTGATCTGCATGCAGTGTGAACACCAGACCGGGGTTGTCCCGCTAAATTCAACTCAAATTCAACGTACCGATATCAACACACAGCAGCCGCTTCTGATCTAAGAAGCTGAAACAACTCTGTTTACATTTGTTAAACATGGCGCAGCACTGGTAAGAGGGATTCGGACGGATATAAGAGCGAATTAATAAAGAATACTGACTACCTTCTGGCTCCGATCCATGTTGTTATCCATTATTTACTTCCCTGATTTCCGTCACACTGTTGACATCATTAACGCTCACCCAGCGTGATGCCGCCATCAGAGACGCAGTGGTGTGGGCAGTGGCCATGCAGCGTGCCAGCAGGGGTTCACACTCTGCTTTTTGTTAAAATGGGAAAAGAGCCAAAAGTCGATTGTTAGCGGGTCAACCCAGTTTTTAAAAAACAGGGGTTTTCAGTGGGAAAGTGGCTTAAAGAGACAGAAAACAATTTCAAAACACCAGTAGAAGAAAAAGTCCCTACAAGTACTTATCCTGAACTTAAAGAAAATCATGTTGACAATAAGGAGATTTAAAACACAGAGAGACTAAACAATTAATCCCTGTAGGGTTTAACACACCAGAAAATACACTCAAATATAAAGATATTTAAGATACTTGCAAAGAGACTGATAAAAGATTAAGTTTGACTAAACTTTGATCTGTAAGGAAGTCTGTTCTGACTTAAAACAGCTAAACTGGACTGAAAATGGCCAAAAAAATAGCAAATAAAAGGTGCAAAAGATTCAAAACAACTGCAAAACAATCAGAGTTTCATTACACCCTTTAAAATCCAAAATGCTGGAAAACTGCTTGACTCAAACCAGCTCAGAGACTCCAAGAAGAAGATTCACAATAGGAACAAAATACAGAAACTGAAGAAAGCAGACAGCTAACGAGTAAAATGTGGCACAAAGGTGCCTTAAAAAGACTTCAAATAAGGATGCTATCATTCAAAATGATGCGAAAATTAACTGGATCGTTTAATTTAAACAGCTTATTCTGTTTTCCTGTTGTGTGAGAAATGAAAACTAGTCAGGCAGGTTTTTTATACCGTTCATTCAGAGGAACTCTAGTTCATCACTTTTATCTGAGTCACTTTGATCTTTTACTGAAAATATCAAAGCCTGAGCCAGAATACAGTCATCGGGATTAAAAAAAGAAGAAGAAAAAAAGAAATGAAATAAAGAACTTAAAATGAACACAATCACAAAGAGAAGTAAAGTTATCCTTAACAAATTTCCACAACAGAAATAGAAAAATGAAAAAATGACTTCAAATATGAACAAAAGCCACCTTTAAGACAGGAAAAATGACCAAAAAAACTAAAATCAGAAGCACAGATGTGATAAACAGTTTGAATTATGTCAAAACCACTAATAAATCAGTCCAAAAATATATATATATATAAGCAGTTAATTTTCAATATATTCGTGGTGAATACATTAAACATTGTATTTGTGGTGAATTAAATCACGACGAGATGCAGAAATCTCCAGATTTACAGTAAAAAACTGGGGTGTGGCTTCATTTATTTGGCTGTTTTATGAAGTCGACCTGTAATGGATATCTAATTGAGTGAAAGGAGGAACCATGTGCTGTAATCTGTGTTTACTTCCAGCTCAGATGATGCTCAGACCTTATCTAGTTCCTGTTTCCTGATGTATTATGTGAAGGCCACTTCACATAATACATCAGTTGGATTGTTTTTAAATTCACTTCTCTACTCAAACAAATGGTTTGTGTGGATTAATTAGGAACAAGCAGGTGAATCAGCAGGCTCTGCTGGCAATGGTGAGGTTTGCAGAGGGCAGGTGTTCTGTGCCTCACAGTTGGGGAATTAGTTTGGATCCAAAGTGCTGAGTGTTGGCGCTGATTCTGGTTTTTCTCCAACATTATGCAACTCCTCATAAAAGCTGAAGGACGCTGAGTCAGACTTTCTCAAACACCTTTTCCTCAGTTTTTCATCTCAGCTGCCTGATTTTAGATCTGCAGACAGAGAGATATGAAGTTGGAGGATGAGGAGGTGCCTGCACTGTTTTTATAAATAGTCCCTGTTTATTCAATATTAGAATTTGACTTCTTTGCTATTTTGTTCTCTTACAGTTTTTAAAATTTTTTTACAAGAGAGATGTTTGCATCGACCTTTCATTGGTTTAGGTTTAGATGAGGATTTTTCATACTTGCTTTAACAAATAAGGATTTAGATCATTTTCTACAGTGTGAATGTTAAAATTATCATATCCTCATTATCTGAACTAATCTTAAGTAAAAAACCTTAAATAAAAAGCAACAAAATAAAAACAGATGGACTTAAAATGATCTGAAAAAGACGACACATAACCCAATGAATAAAAAAATTGTCTTTATTTTCTGTATTTATTCTTTATTCGGATCCCCATTAGCTCACACAAAGTTAGTCTTCCAGGGAAACAGGAAACAATTAAAATTAGACTGTAAATCACATCAAAATACAATAAAACACATTAGAATATATATATATATATATATTACACTAAAATGCAATAAGCTACACAAACAATTACACTACACAAACAGCACTAGGATGAAATAAAATAGACCCAAAATATTTTATGCAACATATTTCACAGAAAAATACCTGGAAACAAATTCAAATCACATTCACAATGACTCTCCTAAGTGATCTTTGATTCTTCCTTTAAAAAATAGTTTAGCTCCAACAGTGATCACCTAGATCAAATACTGAGGGCCCTTTAAAAAAATATGTATTTTTGTCATTAAATGTTAAAAAACAGCAAATTCTCACTATTTTTAATCTACAGTTCTATCACCCAAAGGCATGTACTTTGATTAACTTTGTTAGAGTTTATTAAAAAAACAGATAACAGTTCAAGCCCACATGCTTTCATGCATAAATGTGGATAACCTTTATTAAAAATGATCACCTATGTCAAAAAAGGATGTCATAATTTTCTTGTTTGTTCAAGTGAAGCCATTCAGAGCTGAAATAAAATGGGAAATCAGTATTGTATACCAAAAGCATAAATAGTGCAATTCAGAGTAAAATTACAGAGAATAAAATTAAGATGGAAAATCTAAAAATAAATACCAAAAGGGTTGTAAATTCAGGCAAAAATGACAATGCAGTAGGTTATAAGATAATGAAGCTACTTATAAGATATGTTTGTTTTGCTCTCTTCAAGCATCAAATGTTACTGCATCACTCCTAGAAAAGGTTTAGCTGTGTTACACTAACAGTCTTCTCCAGTTAAGTTCCAGTTAAAATGAGGATGCAGATTCACCAGTAACCTGTCCTGTAGGTTTCTCCTCACAGGTTGTGTGTGCTGGGTTCTATTTTAGTTGCAGAAACTCGTGTTCCTGTTATTGTTATTCCTGCAGAGCTCGACCGAATGAACCGAGCAGCGTCATACTGACTCATTGTAACCCAATTAGTTTGGTTAACTCCTGCTGCAGGGAGTTGGATTTTATTATTTATATCATAAACTATTACATTTTTGAGTAAAGTCGTGCTTGAAGGAAGGAAGAGAACAAGTTAAGTTGGAGCCTGGAGTGAATCGTTGTAAATCGCTGTAATGCGCTCTGAAGTTATAAAAAAAAAAGCCTGTTTGTGTGCTCTTCCTGTGATTCTATAGCTCATTCATCGTGAGTCTCACTGATTTGTTTCTGTGGCTTAAAATGACCCAGGACGTCTAACTGCTGCAGCCAGAGGCTGTGGGGAGATTTCTATTTTTAAAGACTGCAGATTTGCTTCGAAACTAAGCAGAAGTAACATTCCCCCATTATATGGTTCTCATTTGGAAACGCTCTGTGGTGAAGATATGGTGCAGATACATATTTAAAATGTCTTCATGTGGGCAGTAATGGAGCCCAGGCTTCATATAAATAGCAAAGGCAGGTATTGATGATGGTATCGATGGCTGTTCAGCTCCACCAACATGTGACCGCCGGTCTTTCATGGACCCTGCAGCAGTGAATACACCATTTGATTTTAAATGCACCCAGAGGAAACCCATATGTTAAACTATGATTAGTATCCATAAAAAGATTAACTGTTTTATGCATGTAAAGGTTTCTAAGAGTTCAGAAAATAGATATTTATAAGAGGTCACAGAAATAACTTGAATTGGAAAAAGGGTAATTATAAATAAAGATTTTATAAAAATGAACAAAT